AACGTCTCGAATCGTCTCACTCATCACGTTCTTTTCCCGTCCCCGGGCTCTTAGAATTCGACATCAGACGTTTCAGATCTTCGATTTTGAAGACCCCGTTGTCGCTGGCATAAGCAACATCATCCGCGTACGAAGTCGCGGGCAGCAGCTAGTTATTTATAAATGTGATAGTTATGCAAGTGTTGAAAATAAAGTATTATGTTGAAAATAAAGTATTATTATTATTATTATAGAGTTAGTACTAACATCATCATTAATTATGGTCATCAAAATTATTGTATTATTTTTATAATTAAATAGAAAAATTCCTTTTCTACTTATTATTCATTTGTATTGTCTCGATCTGTACGACAAGCCAGCTACAGCCTAAATACGTCCCATTGCTGAGCACAGGCCTCCCTCAGGTTTAAAGTTATGTGGAAGTAATCGAGTCGTTCGGAATTTGTTGTGGTAAATTGATGTCCACCACGACGTAACTAACTGACTTTTTGTCATTTCTTTGGGTCAAGTGATGGCTCCAATAGGAGTAATAGTGTTCTGTGAGTGATGGAGCCGTGGAGAAGTAATTGAATCGTTTATGCCACTCATAAACGATTCAATTACTTCAATGTACAACTTACAATGTATACGCTTTTACAACAAAATCCCAGGAAATGTACAAATATAAATTTGTCGATAAACAAATTTAAATGTTTTATAAAAGAAAAATTGTAGAAAAAGGGTTATTTTTATATCAAAGCATACAGAAATTAATATAACCCTGGGAATGAGGTGGTCACCACCATGCTGGTTCTTAAAAATTAATTTAAAAATTATACAAAGTTATTGTAAAGTGAACAAAATTTATTTAATCCCACTATGTTTGTTGCTGGTTCTTTCCAGGACGGAGATATTTTCCGAACCAGTGGTAAATATAAAAATTACTTTCAATAATTATATCGTATTAATCTACGTTGAATATAAAAATTATAAAATAAAATCATTATCATTTACGCTATAGGGGAAAGAATATTCCTCAACCAGTTGAAACTAGTCCCTGTGCAAATGAACTGTGAACTGATGTTAAATATCTCCTAAAATCCTTATGTCACTCCATTGGTGAGGTGGTTGCCCTATAGAGAATTAATGTTTATAACTTACGGTATTTGCGGCCAGTCTCAATGAAGACTTGAAAGATGATTTGTGAAATATCTATTCACTCGCTCTCATAGTGCGATAAAATCATAATTAGACAAGACCTGAGAGATCAGGTGCAGGACCAACTTCGTTACTTCGGCCCGCTACTGAGAATTGACATCATCATTCATCATCATACAGCTCACAAGTCACTGCGAACATACCTCCAATCCAAAAACCCGGGCCCGACCCCCCATCCATCTCCCATCCCCCCCTAGGGCCACCACCCAGGCGCCCCCGAGAACCTCCCGTATGGCCCCCCGGGAAGAAAAAACCCCCCGGACCCCCCACCATTTTATTTCTTTCAATCTCATCATTCTTACCGCTAGAATTACCAGCTTTGGTTGCTTACACAATAAATAGACTCAGTAGCAACTAAGATTTTGACTCAAACCGGGAACACATGAACAGCAGTCGCGCTTACGACCTATAGAACAAACAGGTATTCAAAATAAACAAATAAACACATATTTACCAAATTTTACCAAATTCTTTATTTCACTTAAAAAAACCCTTAACACTATTTATTTACAGTCGACTTATGAATACAGTGCTGTTGTCACTAAGTTAAAATATTTTTACAAACTATTTAACAGAAATAAAATACAAATAAAGTGTTGGTAGGAAGTCAAAATTTAAAAGAAACGCGCATCGATAGGTACTTAATATCTCTATTAGAATTTCTAGGCATGACCATAGACAAAATAATATTGTTTTTACTTTTAAACGAAAATAAAAATTATTCAATTTAGAAAAAAAATAGAATTATTAAAATACAAAAGAGCATAGACAATAATTTAAACATAATGTTTTGATCCTTACAATACTATGTTATGTAAAAATAGGTTTTATGAGACTGTAAATAATTTACCTTAAAACCGACCATCGCTCAAGCTGCCAAAAGTAAGTCGCTTTTAAAAAAATGTTATTACCAGTTCAAAACAACAAAAAAAGATAGAGAGAGCGCTGTGTAATTAACAAGTATACCGAAACCATGGACAACTTCTTGATACGCACTCACGCACACATCTTTCTTCGTTCTTTCACGGATGCTCACAGTTATACCAAAATATTGCAAACAATTTTAGATGCATATCTATACGTGAGAACCACAGAAATCGTAATAATAAGACAATATTATTACTATTTCTGTGGTGAGAACTTGTTCTTGTAATAAGTTGAACATGGTTTTGGCTTGGTTTCTGCATCACTGAAAATGTACGCAGCAGCGCACCGTCTCTCTTTTTTGTTGGTCTGAGATTACAAACAAAAAGTTAATAAATATAACGATCGGACTTTTAATATCGAATACTTTGATTTGTGGCCTTTATTACCTAGAATTCTGATATATATTCAAAAATTAAATTCACAAAAGTTATGAACGGCAAAACTAATAAACAATGCAATTAAAAACGAAAAATAAAGTAATATTCTTTTTCTCTTTTGATTAACCATTATAAAATATATAAATAATTCTCCCTTATCTAAATTTTGTAGTACACAAATATGACGCTACAAAATGTTTTCATACTAAAAATATAACACAAATGTACGAAATAGAGAGGATTCAAATAGGTACCTACCGTAGTTTTTGTAAGAACATATTAGTTATTTTTTTAAAGAAATGATTATAAGGCAAATCCTTACACATATAATTTTTATTTATTATATATTTTATTAGTTTTCTTTTAAGGTGATGACGACCTCGAAAATTTGGTGGTATTTCTATTTTACATAATTCTTTAAGTTGTATAGGTTACGAACAAAATTTTGTTATATGCTTTTTGACTATATGATCTTGAATTGCATAAAAGAAAAACACGATAACATGTAATTTTCTTGATAAAAAAATTGTAGAATAGGCTCTAATTAGTTACATTTCTCCATGCCACCACAACATTTTTACAAATTAGTGCATAGAATTACGAGATATGTGAATTGTTTCCAAATATACTATCGAAAACACCGTGTATTTGGGGTGTTTAATCTCGCCTCACTTTGTCTTGTAGTGTCGTAAGAGATGACTATGGGAAAGGTCAAAAACACTTCACGTCCTCCGATCATAGCGATATATCAACTATTATGAAATAATATGTAATTTACTCGGAGCGGCGACGAGGAACAACGTCAAAGTGAAAATTCGCCCACCAAGCGTGGCGATTGCGACATATACATACTATTTTTAATACTAAATCAAAAACCATCTACGGAACCATCAAAATGTTTTTAAAATTCTTAAACCGTATCCCATATTTTAATTTTTGAGATCTAAATCTAATTTGTACTGTAGTCTATTCTAACGGTGCATATGCACAAATTAGTGGTAGATATTTGACCAACATAGTTTCAAACATTTGTGATTTGTGGGCATATTCATTGCATTAAAAATATATAACGATTTATGATATCTTAGTGACAAAATAGCAATATTCAATAGAAACATTTGTTAATTTATTCTTTATTCATCAAACCATTAAGTTGTTCATTTAAAGTTATACAGAAGCATTTTAACCACATTTGAAGGAACAAGGTAGCTGTGACATCTTATTAATAACATAAATTGCTTGACGTAATGCGCCATATCATATACTCAAATAAATATATCAAGCATTACGAGTATCAACAAAACAAACTGTTTTCTGTATGTCTTATAAAATACGATCTCAAAAATATGAACCAAACAGACGTAAACACTCCAACTTCTATTAATAACAAAACCGGCCAAGAGCGTGTCGGGCCACGCTCAGTGTAGGGTTCCGTAGTTTCCCGTCCGTCACAATAAGTGTTCCCACTTATGAGTTTAAAGGTATCCATTATGTCCGCACTCCAGCAGCGCTCCGCGCTCCTGTAAATGCTCCCGGTAGTAGGTACTGTTGTTTCCATCCAAGTTCAAAATTATTTTCCTAGAAAGTCCTTATAAAGTTCTACTTTTCAGATTTTTTTCATATTTTCTAAACTTATGGTTCAAAAGTTAGAGGGGGGGGGACACATTGTTTTTTACTTTTGGAGCGATTATTTCCGAAATTATTGATATTATCAAAAAATGATTTTAGTAAACCCCTATTCATTTTTAAATACCTTTCCAACAATATATCACACGTTAGGATTGAAATAAAAAAAACACTTCCCACATTACATATAGGGAGGCTACCCTAATAAAACATTTTTTTCCAATTTTTATTTTACCACTTTGTCGGCGTGATTGATACACATATTGGTACCAAATTTCAGCTTTCTAGTGCTAACGATCACAGAGATTAAGCGAGGACGGACAGACGGACAGACAGACATGGCGAAACTATAAGGGTTCCTAATTGACTACGGAACCCTAAAAACCGAAAATATTTTAGGTATATAAAAATATTAAATCACAAATTATATAATATGTATTATACAATTTGTAATTTATAATTGAAACACATAAAGTTACCTTGTTAACACAATACAGAAGCAAAACATGATTTGCAAGTGATTATTATTAAATATTTTGAATACAGAAATTACAGCGTTATAAATAAATAAACTTATAAATATTATTGCCAGATACGGGAATATGCCAAAATTCAAGAAAAAATTCGCATTCTAATTTTTTTTTTGTAAAATAATAAGGACATGGCAACATTTACACGATTTCTTATTTTTACTTAACGTTTTAAATTCGAATAAACCTTTTTCACCTTACTAAACTTATACCTATGAGACTACAAAAAATTAATAGCAAAATTAACCTATAAATAATACAGTTACAACTAAAATCACACAGTGTTGCTAAATACAAATAATAAACTCCCTATTAACTCAAAATTACCCAAACAAATATTTTCTTAAAAATTCAAAGTGCGAGGTTTTAAAGCTGTTTTCCTTAAGTATTGATGGGCTAAAACTGTCAAATCCAGCTGATCCTGTGTCTTGCCACATGCAAATATCTCCCATTTATTATCCGTCTGGAAAAAAAATTAACATAAGTTAATCTTAGTATTCTCTAGCCGGTCTCGACCAGAGTGACCACTTTGGAAACTACATATTTACAACGCCAAAATTAACTTGATACTTTGCTCAGATGACAAAAACGCGCCGTACTAACGGAAAAAAGTAGTGTTTGCCGAACAATATCGGGCATCGAATAATTGTTTATAGGAGGGCTGGGTGCTATATTTTTCGGATTTTTCAGATTTGTTCTTCACTAATTATTTTACTTCTTCCCACTTTATTTCGTTTCTTGATTGTAGTAAAGTTGTTTTTATGTATTTTTTTTTATGATATTCATTTTGCCAGGTCTTTGTACACATTTTGTTTTTCAGACAGAGTGATCGTGCGCCGATCGGGTGTACCTTTCATCGTAGTTTTTTTTATATAGGAGAGGGGCAAACGAGCATACGGCTTACCTGATGGTAACTGAAACGCCCATGAACAACTGCAGCACCCGGGTTATTGCAGAAACGTTGTCGGCCTTTTAAAAACAAGTAGGCTCTTTTCTCCAAGTACATTCTATTGTCGCACTATATTTTTACAGCTGCTCTCACAGTGTGCTGGTAAATCATGATTTAGAATTTTGTCCATTCTTTATTGCATATTAATAAAAAAGCACTGTAGTAACATCAAACGTATTTTTATAATTAATTTGGTTTAGTTTAGGATTAAATGATAATTTGGTATCACCGATTTATTTTTAATTTAAAATAGCGATCTACCGCGGCTTCGCACGGGTGATATCTGGATTTTACAACACCGCCACCTACCGGGTCCAACTATGCACATAACCTTTGCGGAAGTGCAACCAATATGTCGTCAACTTTTGAGCACAATCTTATGAACGGTATGGCATAACATAAAATACGAACAAACAAACATTGACTTTCATATATTAGATCTTTCCAGAATCCCAAGGATTTTTTTGTTTTTGTTACTGAAATAAGGGTGATAAATGATCATCATACAGTCCTCATTGTAGGTGGATGAGACCCATGGTCACCTACATCTATCTTAAATTAAGGATCAAAATAATCGCATGTGTGTGAGGACTAAAATGAAATGACCCGTTTCCAGTAAAAAAGCTATTTGTAACATTAATAAGTTGTCAAAATACCTTCTATCTAACGATATTGTAGCAGTTTTTCATTACCTAAAAAACGGACAAAAAGACATTTTCTAAAAATAAATCCTAGCAGCGTTTATTGCCCCCGAAACCCGCCCATTTAATCGTTGGAGCCGTTCCGAGATTCCGATTAGTGCTACATCTATATATATAATTATATATATACAAGAATTTGCTCGTTTATACGTATAGGATAAATAAAAACCAAATGTCTTGATTATTGATTCCCACGACATGCATCATGAACCATCTAATTTGTGTCATTTTCCTAGAGCAAAACTGTCAGCAAGATAAAGCATTCCATCCTCATGATTCTCTGCCTATCGTAAGAGACGACATTCTGGCAAATATTCAGGTATACTATGGATAATACACGTTAGCTGTCTAAATTGGAGTCTGGTTCAGCTATCGCTAATCAGCCTAAGCGTGGCGAATAAATCATCTCTTATATCCTATGTTCATCATTGATCTTTTTATAGCCATGATAAAGATAGATAATAAAGACGAAATTAAATAATATAGTATGTAGAGTATTTAAGTAAAATAACGGCCTAGGCCTAGCCTTGGATTATTTGGTTATAACTATTAAGTACGCGTTTACAAAATTGATAGGTATAGAATCGCACTACTACATTGACAAAAGTCACACACACACTAGTGTACGCACGGTTGGCTGTGGGAATCGTAGTCAAATGAAATTATTTTGATAATTTGAAAGATTGAATTTGTTTTTCATTTCTTATACCTACCTCAGAAATACACTTCGATACGAAATACGAATACCTGCTCCAGAGACTGCTTGGCACTGGAAGCCCTCTACTGGTAGTGAGATGTTAGCTCTGGACTTTGAACTGGTTTTGCCAGTTATAATAAGACCTTACCTACCTGCGGACTTGATGGAGTGATCTGAAGGTGTAATTTGGTGATTACAACAGGAACTCCTAGACTAGTGGAACTAGGTGTGCCGAGTTTGGGTTCGTTTTGTTGGTTATGATGAGACCTTACCACCGGACTTGATGGAGTGACCTGAAGGTGTAATTCGGTGATTACAAGTGGAACTCCTAGACTAGTAGAACTAGGTGTGTCGAGTTTGGGTTCGTTTTGTAGGTTATGATGAAACCTTACCACCGGACTTGATGGAGTGACCTGAAGGTGTAGTTCGGTGATTACAAGTGGAACTCCTAGACTTGTAGAACTAGGTGTGCCGAGTTTGGGTTCGTTTTGTTAGTTATGATGAGACCTTACCACCAGACTTGATGGAGTGACCTGAAGGGGTAATTCAGTAACAACTGCTGGAATTTCTGAACGAGTAGAACTAGGTGTGCCGAATTTGGGCTCCATTTTGTTAGTTATGACGAGTCCATACCTCCGGACTTGATGGAGTGACCTGAAGTTGTAAATCGGTGATTGCAACTGGAACTCCTAGACTGGTAGAACTAGGTGTGCCGAGTTTGGGTTCGTTTTGTAGGTCATGATGAGACCTTACCACCGGACTTGATGGAGTGACCTGAAGGTGTAGTTCGGTGATTACAAGTGGAACACCTAGACTTATAGGACTAGGTGTGCCGAGTTTGGGTTCGTTTTGTTAGTTATGATGAGACCTTACCACCAGACTTGATGGAGTGACCTGAAGGGGTAATTCAGTAACTACTGCTGGAATTTCTGAACGAGTAGAACTAGGTGTGCCGAATTTGGGCTTCGTTTTGTTAGTTATGACGAGTCCATACCTCCGGACTTGATGGAGTGACCTGAGGGTGTAAATCGGTGATTGCAACTGGAACTCCTAGACTTGTAGGACTAGGTGTGCCGAGTTTGGGTTCGTTTTGTTAGTTATGATGAGACCTTACCACCAGACTTGATGGAGTGACCTGAAGGGGTAATTCAGTAACTACTGCTGGAATTTCTGAACCAGTAGAACTAGGTGTGCCGAATTTCACTCAATCAGGTCCGGTGGTAAGGTCTTATCGTAACTAACAAAACGAAACTAAACTCGTCACACCTAGTTCTAGTAGTCTAGGAGTTCCATTTGTAACCACCTGATTACACCTTCAGGTCACTCAATCAAGTCCGGTGGTAAGGTCTCATCGTAACTAACAAAACGAACCCAAACTCGGCACACCTAGTTCTACAAGTCTAGGAGTTCCACTTGTAATTACTGAACTACACCTTCAGGTCACTCCATCAAGTACGGAGGTAAGGTGTCATCATAACCTACAAAACGAACCCAAACTCGGCACACCTAGTTCTACTCGTTCAGAAATTCCACCAGTAGTTACTGAATTACCCCTTCAGATCACTCCATCAAGTCTGGTGGTAAGATCTCATTATAACTAACAAGACGAACCCAAACTCGGCACACCTAGTTCTACAAGTCTAGGAGTTCCACTTGTAATCACAGAACTACACCTTCAGGTCACTCCATCAAGTCCGGTGGTAAGGTCTCATCATAACCTACAAAACGAACCCAAACTCGGCACACCTAGTTCTACCAGTCTAGGAGTTCCAGTTGCAATCACCGATTTACACCTTCAGGTCACTCCATCAAGTCCGGAGGTATGGACTCGTCATAACTAACAAAACGGAGCCCAAATTCGCCACCCCTAGTTTTACTCTGCAAGAAGTTCAAATAGCGGTCACGAAAGTACACCTTCAGGTCACGCCATCAAGTCCGGAGGTAAAGTCTCATCATAACCAACAAAACGAGCCCAAACTCGGCACACCTAGTTCCGCTCGTCCAGGAGTTGCAATAGTAGGTAAGTTTATATATCCTACTTATTTTTAGCTAAATAAAAAACTGTGAGTATAAAAATAATAATTTTATCACTTGTCAAGTACTAATGTTTCCAATTTGTTTTTTTCTAATATTTTGTGTATGTACAGCGATCTTTTCAGAATGAGCCGCTGCAAACAGGCGATACAGTATCCACTCACGACGGCGGCCGAGCGCGGACTGTGGTTTCATCGAAATCTTTGTACAATAAATCAAAGCGGGCACCAACAATAAAATAGCCCTTATTGCAATAAATTATGATTTATCCGTATTAGCAAAATATGTGAAAAAATGTACATCAGTTTTTATTTTTTCTACGACAATTTGTGACATTTCGATAAAAATAAACACAGGGTTTTTTAATTGAATATGTCTGTCATCTTATAGTATTTTTAAATTTTTTTAAATATGTTGATAATAGACCAAAACATGTACCGAAACACAAGCCGGTATCGTTAATTTTGTAGAAAATGGCAACGAAAATTCGTTTTTACAATATAAAAAACTACTATTTTCAACAAAAGAGTTACAGACGTTTGCAGATGAAGAACCAATCTATACATGGTAGTTTTTACTTATATTTGATTTGGTTTAGTTTTGTCACAAAATCTACCGAAAAACACCCTAATTTTGGTTGATTTGCAAACGCGTCCTTAAGTAAGATCGTTGTATATGGATGGAGCAAAAATCGGCTTGACCAGGAAAGGACTACTTTCTCACAGAATACCCGCATAAAACAGCACATTAATGCTGTTGTGTTTCGTATAGCGAGTGTAAAGAACCGTAGACCCGTTTTACTGGTAACGAGGCATTCCATCTTAGTCCTCGGGGATGACAGCGGCTCTGCATTTTTAATTTTCAATCGAGGATAGATGTAGATGTCTATGGGCCACAGCAACCACTTACCATCAGGTGGACTGTGTGCACGCTTGTCACCTTTATTATATAAAAAAATCATTTTTCAACTTTGCTATAATCATTCGATGATTAAAATACTAACCAATATGAAAGCAGGCTTCTCATCCTTCATATCGACTGGTTCCTGATCGAATTTGATCGATCTAACGGCAGACTTCTTCACGACCATCGGTTCACCGGATGAACGACGCACCTATAATTGGAAAGGGTTCTTTCTATCTCGGCTTTTTCGCGTTCTATCGTCTATTTTAATATGTATTTGCATATTTGTATATTTACATCTGCATATTAGACACTACAACCAACGTTTCGTTATCCGTAACGATTTTATTACATACGTAGTTACGATTATATTACGTACATTCAGCAACTTATCCTTTTTTCAGGTGGCAATTTACAACAAATTTCAATTTACAACGAACATAAAAACTTAAAAAGGTTTATAAATACTTGCACTGGTATTTTATTTTAACAAAAGGATTTTCATGTACTTAATTTATTGCAAAACAGCTCGTAAAAGAAAACGAAACGTTTTTGTAGTCGTAGGTATTCTGACGGCGTAAGAGAATCCATTACTTCATTTTCATTCCTTAAGATTTTTTGGCTCCCAATTCCGACACATGGATAACCAACTAGTGTTAACACCAAGACAATGAAGAAGAAGAAGAAAGATACAAAATGTTAATAGCAATGCCAATCCACTCGCCGGCAAATCTTTCCTACAATGAGATTAACTCATGTTCATTGCAAAATTGCAATGATAAATATTGTGAAATTAACACACTTTGTTAATACACATACGTTATCACCTGTAAGGACTGAGAGAGAGGCTCACTACCTGTAATTATATTGCCTCTATATCCTTCATAAACATAGAATAGTATAATACATACATAATAGAACGGGGGAGTGGGCGGAGCCCGTGTAGCCACTAAAATGTCACAACATGTCAATTCACACGCATAAATGTCAACACGAGATGTGTTTTGACGTTACAATTGTTTCCAAATTTCGCATGCAAATTATTTAGAAAATGTCAAATTGCACCCTATTTACAAATAATAAATATGTATTAAAATTTAAACGATTTTTTAATGATGATCTTGCACATTAATCAAAAGTCTAAAATGTGTAAATTTACTCAGTCTGTTAACACAGCGAATCGGGTTTGGCGACGCCAAACCTCGCACAAAATAAAATTGACAGCCATTCTATTGCGTATTATAGTATTCTATGTTCATACCGGAACACAGCAGTTCACGCAGTGCTAAATGACAGGAATAAGTATGAAGTTGGTTTCTGTCCAGACTCCTAGACAGTAAAGAACACCTACCAGTTAATCTGTTTTAATATTTCATCAAATAATATTACGTGAAATCATTTTAGGCGAGTTAGTAGAGGCTTAAGAAAATCTTCAACAATCGTTGGTGTCGTAAGAAGCGAAAGAGGGAATTGAAACAGTATATGGGTCACATTTTCCCGATAACAACGCAAAAATAATACAAAAGGCGTTGCTACTAAGCGTGGCACCTATTGCAAATGAGGCATCGTTTGAGGGAGTCTTATGTTTAGCAGTAGACTTTTGATTTTTGAATTATTAACTTTTTAACTTTTGAATTTTAGAGTGACTACAATGCGTTAAGTGTGGAGGTAAAAAAATAAACCAAAAAAATCACGTGAAAATACATTTATTGAAATAAAAAATGACATTGGATCATGGATTGGAGATGGAATACAAACAATATTGACAGTGACACTAAACTACAATAAAAAAAAAACACAAAATGTTTACAAAATGTTGCCATAATACCAATAAACTACGGCTACAGAATAAATTAAAACAATTTTTAAAAACATAAATTAATAACAAAAAACAATTATTAAATATCAACAAGATCAATAAATATGTTTCTACAATAAGAAAAAAAATGTAGATTCAACACTGGCCTGTCAATATTGTGATAGGAGTGGACTGGTGGGCAAATGTAGGCAAAGGAAAAAAAAGGTGGGGATAATGTCATTTTAATATTTCAAATAAAGTACTCTTAAGTATAGCTGCCGATTTGTATTGAAATTGTTTTACAGTTTTAACAAAAAAAAAAAGTTATAGAAATAAATAGTTTCGTAATTACATTACACAATCCACAACCAACGCGACTAAGAAGTCAATTTAAGTTATGATTATATGATAAGTTAAAAAAAGTTAATAACTTTACAGGCAAATTACAAAGCAAACTATCAATTAATAGATTTTAGAAATAAATAAAATAAAGGAGAGGATGGGTTAACTATTACGGGAATTGGTTAGTGTAATTCTTATTATTATTATTATGATTAAGGACATTTCATTAGAGCCATAATTTTTAATACTTTAAAAATAATGTCCTTGTTTGACATTGCAATAGTTTTAACCTAAAAACCGTAATACTTGAAATTCTTATAATTTAAAGTTATTAAACCTAGTAACACTAAAAAAATTTGGTGCATGGTAAACTTGAGGTATATTTTTGCATAACTAAGACTAATTCGTTAATAAGCTAGCGATGTATTAATTCCAATATATTAAAATTCAAAACGAATATTCATTTGATGAAAATTTCATCTTTGGTACCTACGCCCTAATCTCGTCTAACGCTAAAATTATTGGTGCTCCTATATTATATAATTTTAAAAAGTAAAAACAGCGTTCGAAATTTAAGCTCTTTTTAAAAGAAATGTACAGATAAAAACTAATTCATTGACTAGTAAAAATCAATGAACTGATATCTAAAATATCTTCCTTAATTTAATACGCAGTTGTATAAGATCACGCTACGATATTAAACACCTACACACAACGTATTTAGGCCGAGTGTACAACGTGTATATTAATGTACGATTCATTAGGATACGTTCCGTGTTACTGACATCAGTTTCCGTATTTATCTAGTATCCTCAGTGTCATCCTGCGTAACCTACATTAAGTAATCTTTATCAAAAATAGGAAATTAGTGGAAATCAGTAAATGTATTCCAAAATGGTCAATTTGATATTCCATCTATAGAATTTAAAAGTTAACCTTACCAAACTTTATAAAAGAAAATACAGTAGTGTATGTTTTAGTTTCTTAATAGATGGCAACACTAAAATGTCGTAATTAATAAATATCTATTTAGCAATAAATTAGACCAGTCTCCATTCCAGTTTCATGCTTATGTCATTTAGTAATTGTTAATTGATATTTTTCGTGCTGGTGTAATAAGGCACGGTTAAAGAATTTATAAGTGTCTTATGTAAGTTGTTCTATATTATATTTACCTATGTTCGCTATTTTGTTAAAAAGCGCTGTGTAAAAATTTTCATATATAAATATCAGAAGATGAGTAATCATAATTAAAATGTTTTTTTTTAGTTATTCTTAAGTGTATATCGTGTTAGTTACAGACAGCTCAATTCTTAATATAAGACATCTGAAACCGCGTCTTCTGAATATTTCTCCAAGTACTAGTCGAATTGACTCCAACAGAAAATAACCTATTCGTTATATTTATAAAAGAATATTCACAGTCATTTAAGCGTATTCATATTTTACACAAGCGTAGATCAAGATAGCCGTCAATTGTTAATAAACATGTAATAATCATTGGAAAACATTTCGTCCGTTTGTTCCGGATCTTTGTTCTCCATTTGCCACCACTGATTTTCTTTTTGTGTGTAATCGCTTTTAGTCGTCATTATTTTATTCGTTAGTATTTCGTCGAGGCGCGATGTTGAAGGTTTTTGATTAGTCACTTTATATATATGGTCAGCTAACGCATTAGCTAAGACTTCTTTGGGCGCTATTAACGCGTTATTTCCGTTAGCGTTATCGCATGCCAACTCGTTCGACGACGTTATTGTGCGTAACCTATCTGCGTTTAACCGTGCAAATGTCCTCGGCGATTCTAGATTCGTTATATTCCTAAATACGTCCGGATTAGGGTTCATTTGGTTTGTATTGTAAATTTCCTCGTATATTACATTTGGGCTGTAGGTGTTAGGTATGGGATTAGTAGGGACGCTGGACCTGTGTTGTACCTTTGTTTTCTCAGTGATGACGGCTTCAATGTCGATGTCTTCGTATTTCATGTTCTCTGGCGTGTTATCGGCGCTCATGAGACTGTGAAGGCTTGTGGATTCTTCTAGAAGCGAGTTTTTGACGATTGAAGGAGGTGAGAAAAGGCCCGAGCTATCTCCGACTAGAGTTTTGCTCTGAAACAAAATAAGCAATGCTATTAGTCATGTACATAAAGACTGGTGAGCTGTAAAGAGGCACGAAGATGAGGGGCAGCACGCCCAATAAAACCTAGTCTCCATCCCTGAAAAACTAATGTATTCACCCCCACTAAGAAAAATAACAACCCTGTGTGGCATTTCTGCAACAGAGTATTTCCGAGAAAAAAGTTTAGTGGATAACGTCACGGGTGACCATTTAAATAAGTAGTGTATTTTTTTATAGAACAATGGTGACCAACGAGCATTCAATCCACCTGATGGTAACGCTTGCTTTGGCACATGGACATCTACATCTACTCTATTAAAATTTTCAATCGACTTTAAAATCGATAACTCAAAAACTACTTGTCAGATCTTGATCGAATTTATATTGAACCACATGAGAAGCACCAGCTTACAAATAAAAAAGAATCATCAAGTTAAATGAATTATGATCGAATTTTGACCACTAGACGAACAGTAGTACTATTTATTATTTACGTTTAAGTAAGTTTAAGTTTGGGTGTTAAAAATCGCTGGTGGTAGTCGATTTCACAAAGAAGTTGTAAGAGGAAGAAAACTTTTATTAAATCCGTTATTTTATTATATGAAGACCGCCAATAATCCAGATAGAATAAATGGATTACAGAAGGACGGAAAAGTGATGGAACCCCCTCTATTAATGGCTACCCATAGCCAAATATGGCTCGAAGAAATGGACGCTTATAGCGAGGCATTTAAAATTGTTTTGTTCTTATTGACGATATGATAAAGCTTTCAATCCTCAGTAAGACTAAGAAAAGTACTATTCTTTTCCGTTAGACGCGGTATCTCGAATTATTTGGACCTTGTAAATCTTCTAATCTCTCTTGTAATTATAATTTGATTTCACGAAGAATACTCCGTAAGACAAAGTTCGTAAAATAAAATAACGTTTTACTTGGAATTTGCCGAGTTTTATAGCAAGAAGACACAAAAGGAATTATTTTTTCTTTTGTTCTATTTTGTGTATTTTGTACACGTGCAATGAACAAAACCATTAAATAGTACACTTATTAAATAAGATATCTGTGTACCACCTACCTTATGTATGTGTATCGAATTTTGTTTAAATTGAAAACTCATACAATTTTTAACATTTTCTTTGAAATTAGCGTTATAGACTCTACGAGGGCTGCACTAAAAGTATCGGGAATGGAATATTTCCACTGTTCCTGTCATATTAAAATCTTTTTAATTGAAAACACCTTGGTTTTAAAAATCGAATACCATTTATTTATTTAAAAAGATTCTCGGTCTAGTCACAAGGTTTTGTCAAACTTGTTTAGTCGTTGAGAAAATTTAATTGACTCGAGAAAATTCAAGAGCGATGATTTATTATGACTTTCGAAGTGGTTTAACACAAAAACAGCGTGTTGACCGGATGATTTCTGCATTTGGTGATGACGCCACATCCAAAACCACAATTTATCGCTCGTTTGCTGAATTTCAACGTGGACGTGTCAAGCTCAGTGATGATCCCCGTCAAGGTCGTCCAAAACTGCAGTCACCCAAGAAAACGTTGCTGCGCGTGTGCGAAATTCAGGCAACTTTAGACATTGCCATGAGTCAAATACAAATAATCTTGCATGAACAATTAGGTGTAAAAAGTTGTTTTCCCGATGTATAACGCATTCGCTCTGTGAAGAGCAAAAAGCGGATCGCATTACTTGGTGCGTCAGAACTCTCGAAAGATTCTACGCAGGATCCTCAAATGCTGTATACAACATCGTATCAGGTGACAAATCCTGGATATACGCGTACGAACCCGAAACGAAAAAACAAGTCACGAGTTTGGGTGTTCGAAAATGAGTTAAAGCCAACAAAAATTGTTCGTTCACGGAGTGTTGCAAAAAAAATGGTGGCCACGTTTGTCTCCGAAACCGGTCATGTTACGACTATTCCTCTTGAGGCACAAAGAACGATTAATGCAAAATGTTATGCTAGCATTTGTTTGCCACAGGTCGATTCTGAACTCCGTAAAGAGAACTGCAACCGCCGCATCATCCTCCATCACGACAATGCGAGTTCTCACACCGCACACAGAACAAAAGAGTTTTTAGAGCAAGAAAACATAGAATTATTAGACTATCCGCCGTACAGCCCCGACCTAAGCCCTAATGATTTCTATACTTTCCCTAAAATAAAGAATAAATTGCGTGGACAGAGATTTTCATCACCTGAAGAAGCTGTGGACGCCTACAAAACGGCCATTTTGGAGACCCCAACTTCCGAATAGAATGGTTGCTTCAATGATTGGTTCCATCGTGTGGAAAAATGTGTCAAATTTCGCGGAGAATACTTCGAAAAGCAATAAATACATTTTTAAATAGTAATGTTGTGTCACTTCCTTGATTCCCGAAATTTTCAGTGCCGCCCTCGTACTGTAAAAGGAAAAGCCTTAGTGGGGTTCGATAATAAACGACAAGTCCGGAACAAGACCGACGGTACTGTGCGAGCTGTGGGAAGCGTGCGAACAGCTAAAGTACAGTCGCGGAGCAGGAGGAATTTCGTACAATGACCCCTTTGCCTACTGACAGTGGTCACAAACATTTTTGTGTTAAGTGTAGTTTTTATAAAATATTTGAAGGAGAAAAAAATAAATTTACTATCGTATTAAATAAATTATTGGTGTTATATAAATTATTTATTTTGATTTTAGTATAAAAACAGTTGATTAAAACTTACGTATTTTGTCGCATTTAACTTTAAATGATTTTTAATTTCTGACGTTTCGGGTGACTGACATCCCGATGTCAATGTTAACCCGGAGTACCTTCAGCTTTTTAATTATTGTGTATGGTCTATATGCGATCTACGCAGAATGAACTTACTGTGACATGAAGTCTTGCAGCGGTATGCTTGGGTTTAGTTTTAATTTTATTAATTACAGAGTCCCAAGCAGGTGGTAGTACCCAGCCTCCTTCTTTATTTTAATCAATGTGTAGTGTTCGCGTAAATATAAGAAATCATTAAAAAACAGTTATAAAAATCAAGTTATGGTCGCCACACACGGTCAGTTCAACTGATCATTCCAACTGATCAGTTCAAATTAGGACTGTTGATATTTTTTTAAATATCGGATTTTCGATAAATCATTTATTATAAATATATAATATATCAATATCGGAGTTTTATACATAAGTTTATTTATAGATAAATCGAAAATCCGATATTTTAAAAAATATTAACAATCGTAGTTTAAGCTGATCAGTCGGAATGATCAGTTGAACTGAAGTCTTCCTTACAATTACTGATTCAAAATTCCGAAAATCAGCCGATTTCTCGTATCAGACTTACTGCTTTCCGATGACGTTCCACCTGTCACATTAATTACAAAAGACTCAACAGTTTTGTCTACATTAAACTTACCAAAACCACTTAAAAATTAAAACAAGATAACTAAAATTAACATACAAAAACAAACTAAGAATAGATAACAGAGGTAACTGTGTCCGTAAACTGAGCGATCGCGATGTCGTTTGTTCGTTATTTAAAAATTATTAATTATGTCAAGCAAACCAAGAATTTTTGGTCGTGCCTCCAGGCAAACCAAATACCACGTGCAACCAAACCTTACAGTCTCAGGTAAAAGGTTTACAATGCCTGAGGACGGCGGTCATTGCATCTGTGCGAGCGAGACGCATTATACTTACGCGGGAGTGAGACAGAGACAGGTAATAACAGGTCAACGTACGAAATTCTTCTTACTTCGCGTCCAGACTATAGTGTAGTTGTGTCTGAATGAATGAAAAAATGAAGCTGAATGAATACCAGCGTCAAAATAGTAGCGTATGCTGCTGTATTGCGTATGGTGAGTGTAGAGAACTGGACACCCTTTTACTGGAAACGAGGCATTCCATCTTAGTCCGCACGGGTGACAACGCATCTGCATTTTGATTCGTAATCGAGGATAGATGTAGATGTCTATGGGCCGCAGCAACCACTTACCATCAGGTGGACTGTGTGCTCGTTTGTTACCCCATCCTATAAAAAAAACATGTACATGTTTGTAAGGGATGAACAGCTCACCGGCGTCTCGACTATAAAGCTGACGTCGGGCACGAGCGGCGCGGCGTGCTGGTGCTGGTGCTGCGCGTGCGGCGTGCTGGTGGCGGCGCCCCAGCTGGAGGCCAGCGCCTTGCGCGCGCGCTTGTGCGCCGGCACGTTCTCCTTGCCGCGCCGCGCGCTGCCGATGCCCGAGTCATTCACCTGTGGCGTAGCACACCGCGCCTTCGTTACTTCACTTCTTATAAACCTCGGCACGAAAGTCTAGCGGTGACCGTTATAGCGTTTTTTTTTTTATATAAAAGAATATTAGCAATGCTATAAACATTACTAATAGTCCCCTTAACCACTCGTGTTAAGCTTAAATTGCTTGTGGTTACGAGTGGTTCAAGCCCGTAGCCGAATGGCGGATTCGAACCCACGACCTTCTTTAGTTCGTGGTCCGCGCCATGTCATTAAGCTACTGTCGTTTTTAATATATATAATTGGCCGTATTGCGCATTATTGCGTATGATTGGCTGTGCGTATCGTTCGCACGCGCTGATTGGCTCACCAGTCGCATTCCATTCCCCGTACTGATACGACAATCGCAGCTATCCCCTCCACGTTTCGTTCAACGCTAGAGTTACGTGCCGCGATTTATATCCTCCGCGCTGGACGCCGTTATGCGAAAGGAGTACACACTACATTCGAATGCATTTCTTGAACCTAGTATCGTCCCATAGGTGCCGTAAGAAGCGACAGAAGGAAAAAAGCAGCCACATCCCAATAACAACTAAAAACAAAAACTTAGGTTACCAACCCAGAATCGTGTTTGTAGCATTCCTTGTGTAGCATGTCTTGTCCTTGTCCTTGGTCCATGTTAAGCCATAAACTTGAGAAAGGTGGTAATGACTACGACGATAACATCGTCCAGAGATAAACAAACCAGGAGTTAGCTCCCGATACAAAAGATATCCGTAACAGCTATGGCGAATATCCCCTTTATAAAGCAATATATAAAGGAGGCTTATATATTAGCAGTGGACCCGGAAACACAGCGGCTGTAACGGTAACGCTAATTTTTTTATTTTCCATTCCTTTAGGCCTCCCTATAAATTGCCCCATGGTGGTGATATTCGCAATAATGGCCACGCTTGCCAGGCGAGTGGTAACTTGGTGGTAGAAACCCTTTTCTACCTAGGATACCGCCCGGTAAGTAGGTGGACCTACCACTTATCTATTTCTAACACTTAATAGCAATGCTTGCACTGCCGTGTTCCAGTCTTAGATGATATAGGAGTCAGCAATGTAATAGAAAAGTTGCATGTTTTTTAATTTTATTTTATTTTGAAAGTTTATTAAAATTTATTAAGAAAAATAATTAAAAAAAATTATTTAAAAAATGTATAACAATTGGTTTTTCATGTAATTTTACAGTTAAAATGGTTTTTCTAAAATGTAAATTCAAACGCCAGTGAAGTCATTATATGGCTTTATTAAGGGCACCGCATGACAAAATTATAAAACACTCATGTTTAAATTGTCAAAATCAAAAATATTATCATTGAATAATACAGGTTATATATGTTTTGTTACGATTCAGTGATCCGAATATAGAAAATACAAAAGTATAGCATGATTGCGATTGGCTCACAGCCTCAACGGAAATAATAATGTCGCAACAAATCTTTCATTTAGATATAAATTGACCAATGACAAAAACATTAATGCACCTTCTCCATTGTTGACAGACTGTGAGGCATTCCATCTACAAAATAAACGCGTTATCAGTCCTCAGTCATAATAGCGCATCTATAGCCTTCTTTAGTAGTTTATATGCTGCAATAACCGCTTATAGCAGGTGGACCATGTGTTTGTTTCATCAGTTTTATTTGAAAAAAGAAGTTTTAGTTGTTCTGGGCTCTTAAAAGAAATATGATGCTGCCTATAATCTATTTTATCAGGATACTGTATTCTCTGATGTTACCACATAAAACATAACTCGCGCAATTTTCAATTTTCAAATAAACAAAACTACCTTATTTATCCTTTTTGTTATTAATAATTCATCCAATCTTCTCTAAAACTCCTTGATAATATTACTTACCTGAGCGTTAGCAGCATCTTGATCTGCAGTCGAGGACAGCATGGAGTCATTTAACTGGACCGTACTATCAGAATTCTCTTCCCGCTGTATCATTTCTGTTATATCTTCAACAAGCAGCCCGGGACTCGACGGCTCATACTTCAGTCCTGACTTTTTACCAAGTTCTGCCATCGCTATTTTGAAGGGAGTCGGTGTTCTGAAAATATCAATCAATATTGAGAACATTGATGTAGGACAATCTTTAAATCTCTATCAAAAATAAAATATAGATAAACTTTCACGCCTGTCACCCAGAGGAATATGCACATACATTTGACACGATCCAGACACATCTCTCTCTCTACTCTCACTTTCATATAATATCTATGCAAACATGCGTGTCAGAAGAGCACTCCTAATTTGGCTTATTTTTAATATATAGTTTCTAGTTCCACTGTGTAGTGATTTTTTTAAACCAAGGTTTTCTAGATGATTTTCGACCAGGCAGAAGGTGTTAAAGTGTCACAGAGTGCATGTGAACAAAAAGGCACTTGTCCCAATCTACACATGTTAGGTTAAGAAATTTTTGAAACTTATTTTGTTTTTATAGGTTAGGGTGACAAACGAGTACACAGTCCACCTGATGGTAAGTGGTTGCTGTGACCCATAGACATCTACATCTATCCTCGATTACGAATCAAAATGCAGTTGCGTTGTCACCCGTGAGGACTGCCTCGAGAGATGGAATGCCTCGTTTCCCGTAAAAAGGGTCTCCGGTTCTCTACACTCAACATACGAAACACAGCAGCATTAAACTACTATTTTACGCTGGTATTCTGTGAGAGCGTGGTACTTCCCCGGTAGAGCCGACCTATTCGTGCTACAACTATACTACTAATGTAACTGTAGCATGGCTCTACCACGTATAAATTTATCAACAACGGGGGCTTGCTATATCAGCAAAACGCAATAATTTGCCGAATATTCATTTCATTTTGACACACCCATTTCACTTCTTTCATTCATATCTCATATTGTACGAAATGAATCATATTTTCTGTTTTATTCAATATTAATGTTAACTGTAGTTTTCTCCCTGGTTTAGTTTTGACTACAGCGATGAGTTCCGAACATAACGCCAAACTGGCGGTTATGACAAATATTCCCTATAGTAACAGAGGGCCATGTCCATCTATGAATTATTAAGGGCTGATTATGAAGAAAGAAACATTGCTTATTTACGTTTGATAGTTACAAAAATTTTAATCGTTTTGGACTTACTTGGGCGTGATATTGCGTACTTGACTCCCACCAGGTGTAATATTGGATGGAGTTGGTGTATGAAGTAGTGGACTTGCACTCCATTCCTGGAAAAGTATAAAATATATCTGCATTAGAGATTTTTCACATCGAGTTGGGATACATAGGGTCACACCAGTAATCCCCGAAGGGCAAGGTGGTCCAAAAAATAGCGTTACTTGGACCATTATTAGCTAAAAGGTAAGAGTTTAAACGGAACATTTTGAAAGAAGTCATAGATTGCCAGCCCATCACCTGCACAATCACAAACCCTATATCCCATTAGTCGCATCTTACGACATACTAGGTAAGCAACACTGTTGGCACATTCTTTTTTAAAGAATACGTTGGAATTCTCACTCACAGAATACCGGCGTGAAATAGCAGCCCAATACGGCTGTGTTTCCTCCTACGGTGAGTGTAGAAATCCGGTAGATCCTTTTTTACTGGTAACGCGACATTCCAACTTAGTCCTCAAGGGGTGACAACGCATCTGCGTTTTGATTCTTGTTGAGGATAAATGTAGATGTCTATGGGCCACAGCATCCACTTACCATCAGGTGGGTTGTGTGCCCGATTGTCACGATTATTCTATAAAAAAAATATGTGATAACGGTTATGGACTTAGGTATGATATATTTTGATAACATAACGTTATTATACCTACTAACTAAGCTAAAATAAACCAAGTTACGTGTAATTTCTCTGCTAGAGTTTTTTATCAATATGTGTTTGTAAATAAAATATTTATTTACCTTGGCATGTGTCCGTAATGGTGTAGAATCGAAAGTGGGGAAAGATATGCCTGCTGGTGAGTTGAGGAATTGAGATGGGCTGAATGGTAAGGCTTTGATTGGCGTCACACCTGTTTCTCCAGACTCCATCGCTTTATGAATCGCGTTCGTCCACGACTGGAAAATAAATTTAATCATAGATTAATGATAATGAAAATGTAAATATCACAGTTCGCAAGTCATTTGGGTTCGATCATCGCTGGGACCTACGAAATCGTTGTACTAGACGGTGAAGGAAAATACCGTGAGGAAATCTGCATATCTGAGAAATTACAACATATTTTCAAAAATCTCCTAAATTAATTTCAATTTAATTAAATTGTAGTTGGGATTAGAATTTCTTTATAGTTTTATAATCAGTTTTATTTAAATTTTTAATTTTTCTGTATGTGTAGATTGAGTAGGCAGAACTACAAAACGCTATGTACGATTGTTATAAAAATAAAAGTAAAATATTTGTTGGCGTAAACTATTTAATTGATTTATAACTTTGGGAAATAAATTATGTCAACATTACAATATAATGATTACAATATAACGCAGTTTTATTTTATTACATTACACTATTGAATTTTTTATCAAAACAGAAGTACCTATTTGAAGCAACATAATTATGCTGATATATGCGTATTCACTCAAAACTAATAACACGATGATTTGTAACAGTACCCAATTATTACAATAAGTAGACATTTCATAACCAACACGTAAGAAACTATAATTCATAAACAAGAGATAACAACAAATCTATAACACGATTTATTTTGTGATAATAACCAGGAAGATGAAAATAATATTTCCTAATTTCGAAGCACTTAACAAAAGCTTTTTAGTAAAACAAAAATATAAATATACAATATATATACAAATCTTCCTTCAATTCTATATGAATTGGGTTGCGTTCGGAACACAAGATCAAGAACACTAAAATGTGCAAAAATTTACTTATCTTTTTATTTTTATGTTATCTTTATATTCTTGGTAGAATTGGCCGACGAATAAGAAAAATATAACTCAGATTAGAATAAGCTATTTATTTATAAACAATAAAGCACGGAACAGAAAAAAGGATTTTATGTAACTGAATTATATTTGTTTCCGAACGCACCATAACCGTGAACTTGAGCTCTACAAAATATAACAAACAAATAATAATAATGTGTGTCTGTCTGAAACTGTTTGCAAAATGCGTTAAGGGTGTGTAATGTAACCCGGCAAAACCATATTTAGCAAATGTTTGCAAGTTTAATTTTGTGACTACTTTGGTAGTTTAACGATTTATAATAATTGTATTTATTGTTGACCAAAAACATATTCAAAAACATTCATATATGAAACACTGACACGTATGACGTAGGTAATCAGTATTGTGACGATATTTCAGAAAAATCACGGGCCAGCCTGCTGTTTCTACCATAATTGCGTTTTTAGAATAATTAATTACTATACCTACGATAAATTACAATATAGTCTCAAATATATACTAGAGAAATATTGCAATTCGAATCAATGAAAATATGCATACAAAATATGTATAATACACAAGAAATTCCGCGCGCAAAAACCGAAATCAGAATGTATTTTATAACAAGTCAAACAAGTGAACGAAGTTTGGCAACGTTTTTTTTTCGTCAAGTCAAGGTCACGAAGGACGGCATCATCGCTTTCTACCTACGACTTTTGGTATTTATGTTGCCACACAACAATAATAAGTAATAAAATTGTTTAAAACATAGGTGTCTAAGGTCATTAGTTTTATGTTATTTTATACTGTTTTTTTAACGGTTGGAAAGGAAATTAACCAATTATTGAACTTAAGATATTGATTTATGAGAATTATTAAGGATCACTTGCATGATCATCTAGCGTACCAATGTTTAAACGCCTTTCATTTTCTTGTCAAAAGTCACGCACACTACTAAAGTGTCAAATTTTTCCAGGATTTCACTATTGTTTTTCTCAGTATATAATGTAAGTAATTGCCTATAAAGGTCAAACGCGTACACATTTCATTGTAGAGAAGTGATAAAATGATTAGTTTTAAAGAGTGTCTGTGTTTAGTGTATATTTGATTAAAAAATGTATCGACGGACGGCCGGCGCTTCCACCTTAAAAGATGTAATTTAAAAAAAAAAGTAGAGAAATAATAAATCAAATTTCTTGATACAATACATTAACTCACATTAGGGTTGGTTGTGATGAGTTGCGACTTCTTAATTTTCCCTCGCCTTAGTATCGGAGGGGGGCTAGAGGAGTCTGTTGGTTTCTTCTTAGGTGAAGCATACACTGAGGGCACTACTATCTCTTCACTTGTTTCCGTCTCCACTGTGTAAGCTACTGTAATTAAAAAATATATTGCTTACTAATTGAATCTATATCCGCAAGATGATGTTGTGACCAGGATTAAGAATGGAATGCTTCGGTGGTTTGGCCATGTTGAAAGAATGAATGAAAAAAGAGTGACAAAGAAAATTTATGTTGCAAAAGTGAACGGCAGAGTCGGAAGGAGACGTCCTAGGCGAAAGTTTATTGACCAAATTGGCGATATATTGAAAACGGGCCAAATTAGGAGTACCCTTAACCGTCGAGGATGTATGCGTAGGTATATGGATGTGGAGGAGGTGAGAGAAGTGTGGCAGGATCATGCCAAATAGAAGACTGTACTCTCTGCCTACCCCTCTGGGTGACAGGCGTGAGCGTGTATGCTATGATCTATCTAAAAGAGTTAAGAGGTTAATTTTCTTCATTATATTTTGAACCAACTACAAAACAAGATTTACCCGTTTAAATTATATTTTAATATAGGAGTATAAAAAAAAACTTAAACAACATGCATTAATCTTGGAATGTGATGATCCTGATAATTATTTTATTTATCTTGATGACCCGTTATATAGACAGAGATAGACATGCAAGACTAATAAAAGCATGTTAAAAACAAGATTATCCATTTAAGTGTTATGTTTTTCTTTAATATACATAACAACATATCTGCAAGGTTAATTAGTTAACCAATGCAGCAGATTTTTTTTATTTACCAATAGTTTACTTTCACAATGATCCAAGTAACGTAAAAATATCACGATTATTCTCGTCATTTTATTTTAGTAATAAAATCATTTAATGGTTTCTTATTAATTGTACAGATTTCTCGTTTTCCTACCAACATTTTGGTACAGTAATTGTCAGTCAACAAGCTAAGTGTGAAAATTAAAGCAAGTCCTACCTACAGTGGGAGAAACTTATATTCAGCTATAGACTATTTACGGGCTGATAATGATGATGAATTTCACATTATACATGGCAGAGCCACACTGCATACATATTAGTTGTAGCACGAATGGTTTGGATCGACCAAGGTAGGACCACTCTCTCACAGAATACCAGCGTAGAATAGCACCGTAAGGCTGCTATATTTCGTATGGTGAGCATAGAGAGCCAGACTATTTACTGGAGATGAGGCATTCTATCTTAGTCCTCAGGGGTGACAACGCGTCTGCATTTTGATTCTCAACAGAGCATAAATGTAGATGTCTATGGGCCACAGTATCCACTTACCATCAGGTGGTCTATGTGCTCGTTTGTCACACTTGTTCTATAAAAAATGGTAAATAAACAAAAATTCAGCAAGACACCATGATATTTACCTGTACTCTGACTGTTATCAGTGTTAGCGGCTTGCGACAAGTAGTTTTTAATTGGTGAATCTGACTGCAGCGATTCTATGTTGACATATCTGTAAACAATTTTATCAACAGTCAATATAAATAATATATCGTCATTACTTTATTCCTCACGAGCTAGAGAGAGTAATAAGTTTAATTACAGACAGAAGGACTATAATTACGATACTTTTAAGCGACAAATAGGTAGCTCAGCGTCTAAGCATTTTGCAACGGGCCGCGGATTCGGATCCCGCACGGATCTAGTGATTGTATGGTCTACAAATAATAAGGGCATGATAAACTTACTACTTACTCCCGAAAATAAAAAACTCACTTGAAAGGCGATTCGACAATTTCAACAGTGTCCGCAGCAACCAAACTGCCCCTGTCCGGAGACTTCGGCCTTTGACTTTGCTGCTGAAGGTTGTTTAATTGATCCTTCAGTAGCTGTCTGAAATGAAGAACTTGCTTGGACGGTGGTTGGCTTGTTGTTGACGAATTGCTCTGCGTTGACTCGTTGAATGGGTCATTCCAACTCTGAAATATGGAAAACTGTAAGTTATATTTTATCATACACTTAAAAGAGGATGTTTGTAAATATGAAATCGTTTTACTCGAAATCCATTTCATCAATAACCATAAAAATTGGTGTATATATACAGGATGATGTTTTTAAACGTCTGAAAAAAAAGGGTGTAACAGGTGAACGGAATAGAGGCCTATGACACTGTTATTTTAAGATTTTTTTTATTTTACATTAACATATAAAAGTGATATGAATAAATACTATAACGTATTATTTTATACAACGTATTATTTTAATTTCAATATTTTTTAATTGATTTATTTACGTAGTACAAAAATTTTGTTGTTATTCTTTTAGTACCGAGTTTGTTTCAAATAAGTAGTATTTATTAATAGATCAATTTCTACAACCTATTTTTTGGGAATTTTTGTTTGTTATTCTCAGTTAATTGTAAACCATCATAATTTTTATTATAGTGGCGGTGTAAGAGTATCCACTACTCCATATCGTCCCTTAGGTGTCGTAAGAGGCGACAGGGGAAAAATTAAACATGAGAAGGGCAGCAGCACCTTCCTGAAACAACTCGAAATAATAAAAAAACTGTGGTTGCCAACCCGCCTGCCAAGCGTGGCATCTATAGCAAAATCCTACCTATGAGGCAACATACAGGAGAGGTTTGTGTTCAGCAGTGGACATTTATATGTGTGTAGTGGCTGTTATGGATGGATAGGTAAATTTTAATTATTAAATTCTCAAGTAAATTCATAATTATTAAATCATGACATAACCTTCATTGTCATCATTATTACAGCCCTTCACAAGTCTACTGCTGAACATACCCCTCACCCCCCACCCCCAAAGGAATGCCACAATGCATGGTCCTGAGCCACCTGCATCCATCAACTTCCTAGATGTCTTACCAGGTCGTCACTCCATTCTAGTTACATAATACTAGGTTAATTAAATTAATTTTGATTAAAATTTGTGATAGAAAAAGACAACATAGAATTACTGTAAGACAACACCCCATAGTAACAAACATTAATGCACTACAAGCACAGCAAATTAAAAACAAATATTTAACTAAGTACAATGAAATTATAAACCAAAACAAAAACATAGTGGTAAAGGAACTAAAAAGAATAAATAACCAGAATAAAGGTAACGCTAAAACCTATTTTAATTGAAACATTAAATGTGAGAAATGAATATATACAGATAATACATATTAACAAACAATTATGAAAATTACCATATTATGGATAAATGAATATTGAACAAAGGAATAGGTTTTATTGTCTATAATACAAAGACAATAAATTATATAAAAATAAGTAAAAAAAATTAAACGCGATAAAATCAGTAAGAAAAGTTTCATTCAATGTGTAAAGTTGGCATAATCATGAGATAGCATTATAAAAACTAATTTAACTTGTTATGCAATCTCACTATACAGAAGTTGAAGTTTGTGTTAAGAAAAATAAACTTATGTATTTATTTTCTCACTTCAACATGAGAGGCCCATATTCAACAGTGGAGTTTTATGGGTTGATGGAGAAAAACTGTACCAACGCCAGAAATCAAAGGAACATATTTAGGCAGTAGCACTACTTATTTCCTTTTTGTAAGTTGTAATTTCTATTTTATAAAAATAACAATACTATAAGCATTATTAATATTTTTTATCCTTAACCATTAGACTACAGTCTAAATATTTGTTATAAACACGGGTGGCTTTAGTTAAAACATTGTCATTATTGTTAATATTTTATTCATACAACCATAATAGTCGTTTGTGAAAACTTGTACTTTATTTAAAAAAAAAACGAGGCACCATGGCTTATGTCATAAGACATTTGTCAATGTCTAGTAGATTTTTTATAAATAATTTAATGTCTTAGTGTAAAGGAAAACAAAAAGAATTTGCTGGAGAGCGATCATGAATTGTGTAATGAAAATATTCGTTAAATAGACGTTTTCGATTACTAAAAATTATCAGACTATCGACTTTTATTTTTTAAGGAATCATTTGTCGCTGATAGTTGGTGGTTATTATTATTGTGGGTTATTGATAGACTATACACCTGGTTAGGCTGGATAAATATAATAATAATTATTATTATTATTACATATTTTATCAATTAGAGGAAATCATATCCATTTTACTAGAAATTAGAGATCTACAGTTGACATTCTTGGAAATATCTCCAGAAGTATTTGATAATTATCATATTCTGACACTTCAAAGATAAGCTTGCAGTCCACCTTGTACCTAGTAAGTGTATGCATTCCATAGATACCTGCTAACCTCAAGCAAAGGTGACAGGAGTATTGCCCTGTCTTCTTCGTTGAATGCCCAACCAGACTATAATTAAAATGAGTCTAGAACAGTTCAAACTAGAACACAACAGGGAATGTACTGCTAGTATGTAGTATGTAGTTGAAATGGGTCAGTAAGAAATTTAATAAAAACAATTACTAGTCACTCTGTTGTGTTTAGGTTTGAATGGTGTAGAGTGCTATTATAATTATGAATGTGAGGCATTCAATCTCAGTACTCAATGGCAATTTGAGAGGAGAGTGCTCCTATCCTTTGCTTTAATATCGGTGGGTACTATCCACACACTGTCAGGTGGACTGTTAAGCTCATTTACTACGGACAGTGAAAACAACCCTAAACCTTATTTTTTTAAACTGCGCAGGAATTGCTTAATTGAATTCCTCCCTCTCCCTTCCACCATCGGACCACCAGACGTTCGGCCAGTCCACCCTTTCATTGTTGACTTACCATGCATTCGAACCAAACGGATTGCTACGTCGTTCGTCATGAATACAGCAAAGGAGTGAAATAAGTTGCCAGCATCTGTCTTTCCATCCGATTACAATGTGGTTGTCTTCAAGGCAAGAGTGAATATGGTTTTGTTAAGTCAGTGCGCTTCACCACCTTAGGCTACATCACCACTTACCATCAGGTGGTGGGTTGTGCGCTGGCTTATTCTAAATAATAATAAAAAACTGAAGTAATAGATGAACTTGCAGTACAGTAAGTGAAATAGTAAAAGCAGTCCACCACCTAGTTTTTTATGCATATCTATTTATTTATCTTTGAAATCTTGGTTTTATGTTAAAACTTACTACAAATTACATAATCGCCCTCGACTACAAAGCAACAAGCAAACCACTAACATCATTATAAGTGACGTGCACCTTCTTTTCGTGTGGGGCGGCGTCGCGTTCATTATTTACATTAACGCTATCACTATAGAAGGCCCTGGTTGGCTTTATCCGCGCTTGCTTCCGTCGAATGTTCTCGAAACTATCCAACAGTTCGGGCTCGTATTTCCTCCTCATTGTGGAGTTCCAGTGGTTCTTTATCGCATTGTCTGTCCTGGAAATACAACATTTTATATGAATAAATGGAAATGAAGCTGTGGTAGCTCAGGGGCGCGCAGTGGTAGCTTTTACACGCAAGCAACCCCGGATCCCCGCCGGCACCAATGTAATTAGTAATTGCAATTTTAAGTGCTGATTGACCACGTGTTCGGCGGTGAAGGAAAACATCGTTAGGAGACCTGCATGCAATGAGAAAAAAAATTTGAAGACACATGAAGTTCGCCAACACGCATTGGGGCAGCGCGGGACATTTCCTTGCCAAAACACCAAGCTTACATAAAATTCTAAAACTATTATCAGCATTTGGATTCTAGCATGCCCAGCATTACGTCCGTTTGTCATTTTGTAAGTCAAGAATGGTTGAATAGATTGTTGTGAAACTTTCAACATAAATGTAGTAATTATATACTCTTAGCTTTTATCTACAGCATATTGATTTGATCTATGAGAACTTGTGTAGGATATATCTATAGATTGTTCATAGATAATTTTGACTGTTATTTGTTACAAACAACAGTGCTATATTATTGTTTTCCATCCATCTGGGCTTCATCTGGTTGAGTACCTATTTATTTACTTACTTATTTGATTATTTTACTATATTTATGTATGGTATTATACACCATAATATATTTTTTATCTTGTTTATCATTATGATTTCTTATATTTACGCGAACACTATACATGATTAAAACTACTTTTACGGATTTTATCGCGTTTATTTTTACTTTTTATTTACTTTTATTTTTAATTCCCGACGTTTCGGGCGTGTGAATGTGATCTCTCTTATATAGGACAAACAAAAAGATCAATTAGGACCCGCGTAAAAGAACATATAGCTGATGTGAAGCATCAACGTTCCGGGAAGTCTGCAGTTTGTGATCATATCCTAGACGGACCCAACCATTACATCAGATTTGATAGACCACAAATCCTCGCGAAAGAACACCGATTCCTACCAAGGATGATACGTGTGGCTATTGAAATTAAAAAACATCCTAATTTCAATAGAGAAGGAGGCTGGGTACTACCACCTGCTTGGGATCCTATAATCAATAAAATTAAAACTAAACCCAAGCATACCACTGAAAGACCTCAGGACATAGTCAGTTCATTTTGCATAGATCGGACCATAAACAATAATTAAAAAAGCTGAAGGTACTCCGGGTTTAACAATGACATCGGGACGTCAGTCATCTCAGTCCCCCCGTGACCGTGGGTGCTGGACAGCGCCCGAAACTTCGGGAATTAAAAATAAAATTAAATAAAAAGTAAAAATAAACGCGATAAAATCCGTAAAAGTAGTTTTTATCTTGTTTATCATTTTTATTCATATTAATAAATTTTAACCAGATAAGAAAATAATATGAATACCACAAATAATAATAACAACTGTATAGATTTTGACATTCATAAGAGCTTTAATCAAGTCTTAATGTTTGTCTTTAATAAATGAAGATAAAATTATGATTACGATAAAATTGTTTGATAACTTTTTTGGTTTTAAAATTGCTTCCAAAACCAATAATGACATAGAATTTAGCTACTTTACCTGCCAGGTAGTAATTTGGCGATCTTGGCCCACTGGTTCCCAAGTTGCTTGTGCGCTTGATATATAACCCTGTCCTCGTGTTCTGTCCACGCGGTCTTTTTTATGGAAGGATTTAGGTGATTGTGCCAGCGTTCCCTGAAATTTCAATATTTTTTTTGTATTATTTCTATTTTTCTCTACATTAAAAATTCAAGTTTTCAGATATCAGAATGAAAGTAACATGATTATTTAAAAAAGTTTCATCCTTATATAAAGTTATAATTTTGATTATGAAATTCAAATTGTTTTTGGGTATTGTGATGCATTATATTAAATGATTGTATTCAAAGTGATTTAATTTATTAATCACTATATAACTTGATTGCTGATGATAGTTCTATATATTATATCACATCTATATATATAACACAAACTAAATCTTAATTAACTTGTAAAAATAAACATACATAGTTTAAATGTAACTTAATACTTGTTAGCGTTTTCTATTTGTCTATTATCCTCTTGTCTGTCCAAAACCTTCTAAAGGTCGCTATTAAAAAAGTACGCGTCTGTCCCCACCTTTAGAAGGTTGCTATTTACTTATAAACTTCAGACACGAAAGAGCCGTAGTAATGTATCTGTATCTCCTATCTAAATGTATCTACCTCTAACTTGTACAAAATTGTTTTAATATCATTAACCTAATTATCTCGGTATGGAATTGTCGCTATTTAAGTACAAAATGTGCCTTTTTTGTGCCTGTTTCGTGGTCATCTTAAGTGGCCCACAAGAGAAAAAATGTACGCAGAGTTGTGTTTTTTTATAAAATATTGTCAAGTGTATTTATCTTATTGTAAATAAAATAAATATTTATTGAAATAATTTTTTTTTTTTTTACATTTTTTATTCACCAAACTGAAAAAAAATAGCTTTTAACTTTTTTACAATGGATTTTAGAAAATATAAAAAAGGTGAATGTAGACATTTACACATATACTATTAGCTTACTTAACAATAATTCTAACAACATTTTATAGAGTTTGCATTCATAATTATTAAGATATTGCCATTTTAATGACACGCGTCTCGTAGGCAATAAATCACTCGTTTAGGGTTGGACAGTATGCGCCAAAGCGACCATTTGGGCCGGGACAGTTGAGAGGTTATATAACTTTCGAGAGCTGCATCATATCGTGAGTAAGGAGTAACCAACCTGCATTGTTTCCCTATCCTTCCTTTTAAATGCCTCGCTATAAGCGTCCATTTCTTCGGGCCGTATTTAGCGACAAGCTCCATCACTTTTTCGTCTTCCTGTAATCCAAATATTGGTGCATTTAATAACTTACTTGATAGGTCTTGTTTTAATGAATAAAAATTGTTAATATGCTTTAGAATTTTATAATGTAAAATATTTATTTTTATAAAATAAGTGTGACAAACGCGCACACAGTCCACCTGATAATAAGTAGATACTGTGGCCTGTACACATCTACATAGATTCTCGATTAAGAATCAAAATGGAGATGCGTTGTCACCTTTATTAAGATGGAATGTATCGTTTATAGTAAAATGGTCTCCGGTTCTCTACACACCATACGAAACACAATAGCAAGAAGCTGCTATTTAACCGTACCACGGTAGTCCATCACAGATAGGAGCCGACCAATTCGTGCTACAACTACTAATATCTGATATGATACAACGTGTACTAAGCATTAGATATATTATTTTCCATTGAATGTTTACATAAAGTGTATTCTGTGATAGTGTTAAGAAAAACAGAAGAATATACATGCATAGCTATCACACCTTTTTTATACAATTGTATACTTCCAAGACGATTTTCCACGCGTAATTCAACCGCACCTTAGAATGAATCGATCAATATCAGATAATCAATGGCCGATATTAGCATTACAATAAAAAAAACAATAAAGAGAGCCATCCATTTGATTTACATCGTGCGAAAATACGTTACAGCACAAGGTGAGCCGGTTTGTGGGTGGCAAAAATAAATCCGCAATCAGCTGAGACGCTGTCTGACTTATTTAGAGGAATGTGGTGTCGTATAAAATGTTCATTAGAAAATTTAAAGGTTATTTCCTCTTATGTAACTATCATTACACGGTTATCAAACGGTTTTATACGTGGTAGAGCCACGCTGCAGCTATATTATGGTTGTGGCACGAATGGGTCGGCTCGACCGGGGAAGAGGACTACGCTCTCACGTGTTATTTTACACGCAGCGTAATATTGTTGTGTTTCGTATAGTGAGTCTAGAGATCCGGAGACCCTTTTTTTGCTGGAAACGTGGCATTCCAACTTAGTCCTCAGGGGTGACAACGCATCTGCATTTGGATTCATAATCGAGAATTAATGGAGATGTCTGTGCCGCAGCATCCACTTATCAGGTGGACTGTGTGCTCGTTTGTCACCCATATTCTATAAAAAATATCATAACTGTAACAGTATACATCGACAACTCCTCCCCAAATAAAACATTGTAGCTTTAGTTCGAGGTCAAAAGATATTCGGATTCAAAGTACACTTATACTTACTAAACTTAGGGCTACAAAGAATGTTGCCAATCGGCCAAATAGATAAGTAAACTAAAAATAAAAATATTTTTTTACGCTTTAAGAGGTAATGGCGGTGTAAGAATATGTATTGGGTGTCGTAAGAGGCGACAGAAGGAAATTCAAGCAGGTTCAAGACTGATAACATCTCTAAATAATAAAAAACTGCCGTTGCCAAAGCGCCTGCCAAATGGCGTTCAGCAGTGGACTTTATGGGCTGTAATGGAAGAATCGATGGATGGATTTGACCACGGTGCAACAATATTACGGTTGTAGAACAAACAGGCGGCTCGACCGGGGAAAGAGCACGCACTCATAAAATAACAGTACAAAAACAGCCGCTTAATTTCAAAAGCCTTTCAGACAGAACTCATTGTATTCATGCTTTGTGAGTAAACATACGTATGAACTCTTCGACCATTCGAAGCATTCTAGTACCCGAAAAGATAATGGAGTACGGATGGCTACCTAATAGATTTAAGACTGAATTGTAACTTTATTATATTTTAAATACGATGTTAATTATTATTAGAAAAATACAAGTAAATACAAGTCTGCAATTACCTAATAGAGGAATGTGTATAATGTGTGAAATGATCTCAGGTAAATCTTAAACTAAATGAAGTTAAACTTTTACTGTTGAAATAAACTTAAATGAAACTTTTTAAAATACGAAGCAGTATATAAATTAATTTAATCATATTTAATCATTGCATATTGCGCAAGCTATCTATTTATACATATTTCATGCCATATAAGATGTAAATCTCGGACGTTAAAATAAATGACATGATATTAATCTCATAAATATGATGATTATCTCTCATTTTTACTTTTTAATTTCATTAAATAAATAGTGGCAAAATCTTAAAAATAAATTACTGTTTGTAACCAGTCTTATTTCTAAATTATCAATTCGATTATAATTTCAGTTTTTTTACACTAACAAGATATATTTATAATTCATGATCATCAAAACAGCCCATCTAAAGAGCAACATGGACCTCACCCATAAATTGCTTCATAGAGGGGATGTTTGGCATAGTTGGCTCGTCTGGCACGCGGGTTATCAAGAAGATATGCGCTTCTTACGACACCCGCGGGATGATAAGCAAGTAGTGGATTGTATTAGGTCGAGACTACACGACAAAAATATATTCGAGGTTCGTTAATCGATTTCAAACAATACCATAGAGTACCTTGCTCAGGGGTACCATTGTAAATTCAGATCATAATATAATTGAAATTGGTTTGTTTTGCTGAATAGTCGCATTATCAACAACAAGTGTGTGATTTGCATCATTATTCTTATCGGCGAAACAAAAGTCATTAATTAAAAATAAAAACATGTAAAGAACCATTAGGTTATCGTAATATTTCTAACGTGTATAGATTATACCACTCGTAGCTAGCTTTGCCAGACGTCCGGACACAGTCAGGCTTTTTGGTCGCGTGTCCGGCCAAATTAGACGGTGTCCGGATTTTGTTAGGCTTATTAAATTTGATCATTTCTTTATATTTTTTTATATATGTAGTACTTACATAAATACTATTGCAATTATTAATATTGTAAATAATATTGAATGATTAATAATGAAGAAGACTGATTTATTCAATTATTGTTATTTCTGTAGAACTTAATATTTTACGGTATATGATAAAATGCATTATTTTACTAAGACAAAAAATAAGGGGGTCCGGCCTTTTTAGCAAAATGTTCGGCAAAGCTCGCTAGTCGTCCGGCTTTTCGGTTTTAAGACCTGGCAACCCTACCCGCAGCGAAGTGAACACGTGGATGTACTAACAAAAAAAGCACGTGACCGAGTCAAGGTTGTCCAAGGATATGTCACGGTCTAAATACGCCTGGCAATATGTACTTACGGGGTATTGAAGCGAGAGACGATTTCCAAGTAGATACCAACTTATATCAATTGTATGGTAATGCTTGTTCCTTTCTAAATCGTTCACGAAAGGATTTAAAGGTGATACCTCGAAAATTTGGTGGTTATTCCATTTCATATATTTCTTTAAGTTTTATAGATTGCGAACCGGATTGTAGAAAAGGATAACACGATAACTTATAATTTTTTCGATAGAGAAAAATTGTAAAATAGGTTCTGATTAGTTACGTTACCCCATGCCAACACAATATTTTTACGAATAAGTTCATGGAATCATTTTTAAAGCATAGTAAATAATCATCTAAGTTCACATAAACCATTTATTAAACAATAATAATAAGTTTGTTAAAAAAATGTTGTTTGGCGCTTTCTTAGTTTATTTATTTATATTTATTTATATATCAGTCGTCCGTGAGCTTCACCGACAAAGTAGTAAGCCACGCCTCCAAAACTACTATTAATTTTCAAGGTATCCCATAATGAGGCAAAGATGATTTGGTTGCGCCAGTAAAAGCTATATGCGCTAATTATTACACTAATAAGCCGTGTGGAGCGGTGCAAGAAAGAAATGATAACTCCTATCTTATAACATGGATTCCTAACCCCGATAAGATTGCCTTGAATACGAATTTAATTCTTTATGTAGGGTTGTTATATGGAGAAATTCAAGAGAGGATTGTATATGTATAGAAAAAGACGACAGTTCACCAGCCTAGTGAAATCTGACAAAGTTTAGCGCTCATGCTTTATTCAATCGCTTGTACGATATTATTTAGCCGACTTAAAAAGGGGGTTCTCATATCGATTGTATAGTTTTTGTATGTACTATGTTACGCGATATCTTCTTCAATTGTGAACTGATTTTAATATCTTTTATGAATATAACACATATCACAAATATTTCATTCCTAAGGGTGGAAAATAAGAGATATTTTTTTAATTTAACTACTGTAAATGTATAATAACTGTTATTATTTAGACCACATCTACTTGTTTCCTTAGTATGTAGATGTTCCTTATTTACATTTAAAAAGATCAAAATTTAACCTTCAGTAAAAAAGTAAAAGTCGACATCAAAGAACTTAAAAGAATAAAACAATGCCTAAAAACGGAATATAATCGATTGACGGCAATAAAATATTTTTAACAAATAATATCATAAAACGTTAACGTGACGATACTTAGAAAAACCCCATATCCTCAGTAAAAAGGTGATGTCACACTAAACAGCATTCCGGATTAGTGGACGTGAGAACTCGCGTAGGATTTGGTGACTTGGGTGTGACATAAAAATATATTTAACTCGTATAGTACAATCGAGTAAACAATCGTTAAATAAGAAGTCGTAAATAAATTTATAGGCGTTTGTAAAATCAATCGTCATTGAATACTGAATAGTATAACACAGGATATTATAAGTTGAATAGATAATAAAATAATCAATACAGTAAGGCGTTATTATTACTTTACAGAAAATCAGCGTGAAAAATCAGAATCACGTATCTATCTTAACTAATATGAAGAGTACCTTCCTAAAGTGCATGCACTATCAGACTATCACCGTCACTCCTAAATCCAAACACAACTACACTAAAATACCAAAAAGACACCACCGTCAATAATATTAAGTACATGTTTCGGCACTAAACATGGCATTTTCATGAGTAATACGACTCTGCGATGGCTATCCTATTAAGAAGGGAAAAGAGTGTTCTTAAACAAAGTAAGACTGATTATTCTATTTTTCACGTGGATATTCGCTAATTAATTTTAATACATTTACTTAGTAGATAATGACTTAATAACCGTAAGTCGACATAAAAATATGTTAGGGAAATTACGTGGGCTCCCAAAAGATCCATCCTAATTTTGTTTAAATATCATTACATTACGGGGGTCTACAGATTGACACCAATCTACCTTCACACATTCACTGATATAGATCTATGCTGCTAGTAGACGATTTAGTTTCGCTGTGCCTAGGACACCGAAAACGACGATTTTTCTGAATATGTTCCATCTGGGTTGGTAGCGTTCCGGTTTGATCCAGTATATTACAGACGGTGAAGTATTTAATCTTTATCCTCACAGTGACAAAGCATCTGTGACCACTTCATAAAGTTTGGCAGCCTTAATCACAACAACACAGCTTACAAAGAAAAAAAGACAATTAGATGTATTAGATAAGATTTTAGAACTTATAAGATGTAACTAAATTATTTTGAGCGTTCAGTTCTACACGTTCTTTAACGAAATAGACCAGAATTTAACCTTAAAACTAATTATTAGTTATTTCGCGATATATTAAAAAACTGAAATTACAAAAATCTGAACACAAAATAGAAAAAAAAATATTCCAAATTTAAATGGCAAATTATAAAACAACGTTCACATCCAAGGCAATGCAAATAGGTGATAAATTATCTTGATTTAATCAGCTGTGTTCTATTACGTCAACTTTAGAACACCAAGGACATACATAGCTCAAAACTTACTAGCCATCAAAGATTATCTATGACACAATAAGAGTTGTTATAAATAACTATGAGCAAGGGTTGCCATTTAAAAGAAATCAAATGTTTATAAAAGTCATTGATTTATATATTACTAGCGTATTTTGAAATCGTTAATAAAAGTACTCCAAAAAAATTACAGATCATTTCCTCGGTCATATTAAAACAATTTTGGTTCCAAAAAATACATTTTAAAATGAAGAAAAATAATGATAGTATAAAACAGCTCTAACATTTAAATTTTGCGTTAAAATTAGACATAATAAAATAAACAAAATGAAATAATTTAAGAATATTTATAATAAAATGTTTTTATTCGATGTGGATTCAGAGTATATTTTACGTAAAATAAAATTCCATTTTATTTTACATACAATACAAAAGATACGTTCATTAAGCTGGTGGTGGTGTTGGTGGAGTACAAGTGATAAAATTGGAAATTTTGTACTATCGACTTCAAAATAAATAAAATGAGAACATCATCAATGTAATCGAAGTCAATTAAATTATTAAGCATAACTCACGCATTGGGGCAGCGCGGCGGACACTTCCTTGCCCTAAAACCCTCTCAGAAATGAGGGGAGGCCTGTGCCCTGCAGTGGGACGTATATAGGCTGTAACTTTAACTTTACTTTAAGCATAACTCAAAAACTACTGGTCAGATATCGATCTAATTTATATGGAACCACATGAGAAGCATCAGCTTTCAAATAAAAAAGAAATCATAAAAAGCCGGTTTACCTAGAAAAAAAATTCTGAGGTTACACACATAAAAAATACAGTCGAATTGAAACCTCCTATTTTTGAAGTCGGCTGAAAATACTTTACGTTAGGATTTTTTTTATTTTAAAACGTACCATTCTCATACATTTTAATCTACACACAATAACATATTTAAGGAATAGTTCCAGAAAGACCAAAATCCCATTTATAACAAAATCCTAGTGATACTATTTTCCTTGGTTTTGTATATTTTAAACCTTGTCGCTAGCCCTACAGCCTATACAAACTTTAAATTCAAGCTGCGAACCTACCAACAATGGATTCATTCACAAAATCTTAGAAGCTACGTAGGTAGTTATTTGTAAGAATTTGTCATTTGTATCGTGTGCTGACTTTAAAGCTATTTTGAGTGCGCGAAACATTTTTATATAGTAAATACCCGATTACAATCTGGACATCTTCAAGACAGGACGGAATAGGCTTTTGTTATTGTTACGCTAATACAGTGCGATTTACTATCTATGGCTTTATTTATCATCACTTGCCATCAGGTGAGACTGTAGTCGAGTAAAGTCTTATATGTAAAAAATAATGGAAAACGTATTTTGATTATGTATTCTTATATATTCTTTTTATTACAGATATTGAAAAAAAAGAAATTAACGCAAAATAACCTTGTTGGTTGCTTAAGGAGATAGAGATACCTACGCTATACATTTGAGATGTGCCCAGTTACGATCTCTGTTGTGACTATACGGAATTAAAACGGATTTAAAGAAAGTCAAAGGTCTCGTTGAATAAAGGCTTTCAACACGCAAAATGAGAAAGGTAGAAGGTTGCAGTCGACCGCGCAAGTCTATGAACAATGAATGGGCCTGCATTATGCAAGTTATTTGCGACAGCTGCAGTGTTAGTGACCTCTGAGTCATCGTCCATTACAATGATAGACGCACCGGCGTTTTCTGCATTATGCACGGAAGTGTGTGGGTCGGAATTGGAAGACGGTTCTTAATTGCGTACTTCACAACAGTCACCTGCGCATGCATTTCTATAACATTTTGCTGACTACTTTAGTAAAAA